GTGCTCAAGATGTTCTAGATCTTGTCACTGATGGTTATGTTCCAGTAGCAGCAGATGCAACCGATGAACAGAAAAACGCGCAGAAGGAAGTAAGGAAGAAGGATCAGAAAGCATTGTTCTTCATTCATCAATGTGTGGATGTAAACGTGTTTGAGAAGATTGCAGACTCTACAACAGCAAAGGCTGCGTGGGACACACTGGTTAGATGTTATGGTGGTGACGCATCAGTGAAGAAGGTGAAGCTTCAGTCCTTGAGAAAGCAATATGAGAATCTCAACATGAAGAATAATGAAAAAGTTTCTGAATACATCTCCAGAGTGATTCTGATCACTAATGAGATGAAGGCATGTGGAGAAACTCTTTCTGAAGAAACAATCATGGAGAAGGTATTGAGATCCCTTACCTCTCAATTTGATTACATTGTGGTAGCAATAGAACATTCCAAAGATCTGAGTACCATGAGAATTGAAGAGCTGCAGAGCAGTCTAGAAGCGCAAGAGTTGCGTTTGACTGAGAGAACTTCTGAAAGGGAAGTAGAGCAGCAGGCTCTGAAAGCAACTTCTGATAGGAGGTATCAGAAGCAGTCAGAAGCCAAGAGAAGATCTGATGGTGGTCAGAAATCAGATACCTCAACCTCTGATAGACAAAAGAATGCTCAGAAGGGAAAAGAGAAGTATGACAAGAAGAAGATCCAATGTTACTGTTGTAAGAAGTTTGGTCACTTTGCTAGAGATTGTTGGTCAAACAAGGAGAAGAAATCAGAAGAAGCAAATATAGCCAGAAGTTCTGATGACGAATCTGTGCTATTGATGGCCTCTGAATCTGATGATCTGACAGACTGGTGGTATATGGACACTGGCTGTTCAAATCATCTTACTGGAAACAAGAAATGGCTGGTTGACTTTGACTCTGAAAAGAGAACAAAGATCAGATGTGCTGATGACAAATATCTTAATGCAGAAGGTATGGGAAATGTCAGAGTGACTCTGAACAATGGGAAAATAGCATTGATTCAGAATGTGTAGTATGTACCTGGCATCAGAAGCAATCTGATGAGTGTGGGACAATTAATTGAGAAAGGTTTCTCAGTTACCATGAAGGACAATCTTCTGAAGCTGTATGACTGTAATCAGAAGTTGATTATGGAGTCAGAACAGGGAAGGAATAGAACATTCAAGGTGAATGTCAGAACTGCAGACTCATAGTGTCTTAGTGCAACAAGTACTGAGAAGGAGAGTGAGCTGTGGCACAGAAGATTTGGTCATTTGAATTTCAGAAGCTTACAACATCTGAATTCAAAGAAGCTGGTACATGGAATTCCTGCAATTAAGAAGCCTGAGAAGTCATGCAAAGTTTGCATGGAAGGAAAACAACCACGTTTGCCATTTGCGTCAGAAGTTGCTCCAAGAGCAAAACATGCCTTGGGAGTTGTACATTCTGATGTGTGTGGTCCATTTCCAGTAGCATCAATTGGAGGGAATAAATACTTTGTGTTGTTTGTTGATGAATTCACAAGAATGACATGGGTATCCCTTATAAAGTTCAAACACGAGGTGTTTGATGAATTCAAGAAGTTCAGAATGAAGGCTGAGAATCAGAGTGGTCAGAAGTTGAAGATTCTTAGAACTGATGGTGGAGGTGAGTATAACTCCAAAGAGTTCCAGAAGTTCTGTGAGGAGAATGGAATTGAGCATGAGGTTACTGCTCCTTATACCCCTCAACACAATGGTCTTGCTGAAAGAAGAAACCGTACTTTGCTTGATATGGTGAGAAGCATGCTAAAGGAGAAGAAGCTTCCTCAGAAGCTCTGGGGAGAAGCTGTTGCCACTGCAACGTATGTACTCAACAGATGTCCTACGAAGAAGTTGAAGGAAATAGTTCCTATGCAGAAGTGGACTGGAGACAAGCAAAGTGTTAGTCATCTGAAGGTATTTGGTTCTGTTTGCTATAAACATGTTCCAGAAGACAGAAGCTGGATGATAGAAGCAAAGTGATGATTCTGATAGGGTACCACAGTACAGGTGCATACAAGCTCTATTGTCCAGAAACCAATAAAATTGAATTCAGCAGAGATGTGATTGTGAAGGAATCAGAAGTTTGGAATTGGGATAAGTCTCAATCTGATTCTGATGTTAGAACCTCTGAAGAAAGGCCAGAGTTAAGAATTTCTGAAGTTGAAGTAAACCCTGATATTGACTCTGACTCTGATACTGATTCAAACTCTGAAGATGACTCAGAAGATGAAGGTGACTCTGATGACCCAGACTCTGATGACCCAGACTCTGATGATTCAGACTCTGATGGCAATCCAGATCTTGGTGGCAATTCAGACTCTGGAAATATGCCAGACTCTGAAGATGGTCAAAGCTCTGAAGGTCAATCATCTGAAGCTAGAAACTCTGAAGCTCAAGACTCTGAACAAGTTCAGAGACCACAAAGAATCAGAAGCGTTCCCAGAAGATTTGCAGAATTTGACATGCTGCAAGACACTGAAGTAGACTCTGAAGGAGAAGTTATTCAGTGTGCCATGTTAGTAGACTCTGAACCTATAAGTACAGAGGAGGCTCTTAAGCAGAAGCTCTGGCTGAAGGCCATGAAAGAAGAACTTGATGCTATAGAGAGAAACAAGACTTGGAAGCTGACAGAACTTCCAAAAGACAAGAAAGCCATCAGCGTCAGATGGGTTTTCAAGCAGAAGTTAAAGCCAGATGGCTCAATTGGCAAACATAAAGCAAGGTTGGTAGCCAGAGGATTTCTACAGAAACCTGGGCTGGATTATTCTGAAGTGTTTGCACCTGTAGCAAGACATGAAACAATCAGAATGGTGATTGCAATAGCTGCTAACAGGAATTGGCCTCTGATGCATTTAGATGTAAAATCTGCATTTCTGAATGGTCCATTAGAAGAAGAAGTTTACGTGTCACAACCTCCTGGATTTGTGAAAAAGAATCAGGAAGGGATGGTGTACAGATTATACAAAGCTCTATATGGATTGAAACAAGCGCCCAGAGCTTGGAATCAGAAGATTGATTCATTTTTCAAGAAGCAAGGCTTTCAGAAATGTGAGATGGAGTACGGTGTCTATGTTCAGCATACTTCTGAAGGCAATATGACTCTGGTATGTTTATATGTTGATGATATACTATTGACTGGAAGTTCTGAACAGGAGATAGCCAAGTTCAAGAAGGTTCTAATGAATGAATTTGAAATGACTGATCTAGGCAAAATGACATACTTTCTAGGGATGGAGTTCAGATATTCTGAGAAAGGTATCATTTTGCATCAGCTCAAGTATGAATTAGAACTTCTGAAGAGATTTGATCTGAAGAATTGTAAGATGGCTGTCACACCTTCTGATACAAATCAGAAACTGGATTCAGACTCTGAAGGAAAGGATGTGGATGCTACAGCCTTCAAACAGTTGGTTGGTTCTCTGAGGTATCTGTGCAATACCAGACCTGATATTTGCTACTCAGTTGGGATGGTTAGTAGGTTCATGAGTAAACCTAAGTGGTCACATTACCAAGCTGTTGTCAGGATTCTGAGGTATATCAAAGGAACTCTGAAGTATGGAGTGTTATTTCCCTCTGGAGGAAATAATGAGTCAGAACTTCTGAGTTATTCAGACTCGGATTGGTGTGGAGACAGAGTTGACAGAAGAAGTACATCTGGGTACTTGTTCAAATTTCTGGGAGGTCCCATTTCTTGGTGTTCCAAGAAGCAACCTGTTGTGGCGTTGTCAACCTGTGAAGCTGAATACATTGCAGGTGCTGTTACTGCATGCCAAGCTGTGTGGATTCTGAATCTGTTGCAGGATCTGAAGATTAAGGTAGACAAACCTCTGAAGTTGATGATTGACAACAAGTCTGCAATCAACCTTGCCAGAAACCCAGTGCTGCATGGGAGAAGCAAGCATATTGAGACCAAGTATCATTTTCTGAGACATCAAGTTCAGAGTGGAGTGTTAGAAGTTGTACACTGCAGCACTCAGAAGCAGTTGGCAGATGTTCTGACGAAAGCTATCAAGACTGATCAATTTCTCAGATTAAGGGATGGAATTGGTGTTACAAGTTTTGATGGAATATGAATTAAGGGATGGTATTAGTAATAATTCATATTTTATTATATTATTTTCTTAAGCCCATAAGTTTGTTAGAGGGCATTTCAGTATTTTATCTTATTCTAGTAACCCTAGTTTTAGCCTATAAATAGGGTGACAATCATTGTAACTCTTAATCCTGTTTCTTCTGGCGTCATTCTCTTTAATAGAATATTTTCCTATTTTCATTATTCTATCTTTGCACCAACAATATTTTTATAGGATTTCTTCTCTAATGAATTTGTGCTGAAAAGTTACCAAGTTGAATAATGAGATTTTTCAGCTAAAAGATTCATTCTAAAAAAACAATTAAATCTCAGATAAACAAATAACCAAAAACTTATAATATTATTAATAACTAAAAAATATTATGTCAGATAAATATATGACTTAACGCTTTGTCAAGTAAAATAACAAAAGTGAATTTAAGAGATTTATTTGTAATATTTTTTATTAAATAATTAAAACAAACATTAAATTAAATTAAAGAAATCGTGATTGGATAAATAAGCAAATGTGTTCACTAAATCATTAGATTAATCAGAGATTAAATATTACTCGAACTTGAAAAAAGTTTGTTGAAAAAAAAAAAAGTAAAAAGTGATTGATCGATTAATATTGAGCAACACCACTAATTTGAAGTCAACGTAAATATTTGTGTAATAGTATGTCTTTATAAATGAGTCTCCGGACATTTTACTTGTGCGGCTCTCACAGTCACACATGTTTTTTAACAAAAATATTCATACTTATTTTATTATATTTTTTAAATAAGTGTAAAAAAAAAAAAAAGAGAGAGAGAAACAGAATTATTTGAGGATCCCAAACCTTTGGACTTTGAAAACAAGACAAAACTTTCTCTCTCTGCACGCAAACTACAGCCAATTACTGCTGAATTCCGATGGCAGAAGTAGAGTCACCACCGCCGCCTCCGCCACCGCAGTACCTAGAGGTTAACTGCAGAACCTCCGGCAAGATCCTACGGTTCGCTCCGGGCACCGATGCAGGATTTGCGGTGGCGCTGATAAATCGGAAACGGAAAGGAACAGTTCCATTGGTAACGCACATAGAAGCTGTAAAAGATGGTGAAGAAGAAGAAGCAATCGCTTTTGGACCAAGCGCAATTCTTTCCAATTTTGGTGAAGGTTGGAAGCTTCAAACCGTTCTTTCTTCCGGTAATTTTTTGCCTCATTGAATTTTTCCATCATCTTTTTCATTTTTTAAACTACTTTTACCTTTTTTTTTACATGAGAAAAAGCAAAAAAAATATTAAAATTACATTAATTCTATTTAAAATTGATATTCCTAAATATACTTTAATTAATAGAAAATTTATTTTTAATGATAAGATGAATAAAAGACAGGTATTAATAATTGAAAATTTCTCCATTATTGTTTACAGAACAAATCAAAGGACCTATTCAAGGAATGGCAAAGCAAACATTAAAACATGTAAGTTTATTTGTAGATTAAAGTAAAAGTCATGACTTTGCACTCTTTTTCACTTCATGTATTTATTTTACAGATTTTTCTATATATATTGTTTTAACTTAGGAATAATTAACTAAACCTTTAGTTGTTGACTTTCTTTTTCTTCAGGCTTCAAATGTCCCAGGTGGTGAAAGCCGAGAACCTAACCCAATAGGCTCAGTATATATTGTTAAAATAATACTTGCTTTTATTTTGATTTTTGTTCTTGGTGCAATTTTTACTTTGTTTCTTGATAATCTTCCTGCGTTGATATTGTTTGTGCAGTCATTTATATAATTCATTTTTCATTTTTATGTTTGTGGTTTATATGTATGAATTGAATAAATGGCTTAATTTTTATAGCCTTTTGATTTTGTTATGGACTGTAACTCAATCATAAAATCATGTCCTCGTACTACACTGTTGATTTACTTAGAAACAAATAATACAATAAAAACCAATTCAACATTTTTTTTCTATTTAATTTGCACTTAGAATCTCAGAGTCACCACTTTGAGAAATTGAATGAAACTTTGAATTGCAGAGATATTATCAAGAGCAATACCTAACTTTACATCCATAAACATCAGTAGAATAACATTAGAAATATCTAATTCAAGTAATCTAATGCATTGATAAACAGCTCATCTGAGGGTTACAGCAACCTGTGAAGACTTCCCGTTTGTCCCTCTTAACAACATCGTTTGTCCCTCTTAACAACATTGTGTCTTGTTATTTTGTAACAAAAGGGTAAGATGGTATGATACAATGACCCACAGCAACCGGCATTTTGAAACTGTATGTATTCTTGTGATGATGATACACAGCAGAGCTACACTTAATTTAGCTGATCCTCAATGGGCATTTACTGCAACAGATGCTATGATGTTATTAACCACACAGGTCACAGCATTTGACGTGGCTGGAATGGGTAATGAAGTAGCAACTCTGGATGGACCTATTTTGAAACTAAAACATTAGAGTTCAGAAATTCAAGGCGGTTTTTGGTTAAAGTAATCTTTTCTTCTGCTTCTGTTGCTTTTTCCCGCACTGCACGGACAACCTCTTCTGGGGCCTTTTCTACAAACTGCAGAAAGTGTTAGCCAATGTTATGGGCACAGACTACTCTGGTGCATAAATTCAAGACATAATCTCCATAACACTATTCTAGTATAATGCCAAAATATAGACATGCAACACGCAGTAATTAACATCTTTCTAACTATTACAATTAGGAATCAGAGTGTGAAAAAACGTGACAAAAGTGGTAGCCCGGGGCTTTGGGACATAATCTCCATAACACTATTCTAGTATAATGCCAAAATATAGACATGCAACATGCAGTAACTAACATCTCTCTAATTAGGAATCAGTGTGAAAAAACGTGACAAAAGTGGTAGCCCGGAGCTTTGGGACATCTAGATCCCATTGAAATGCAAACAAGTGACTTGCATCTAGATTTAACCAGTTATCCTTTGAAATGTCTTCACAAACTGATATTGATAGCTAAACAACATATACGGACCATGAAATAAGGAAAATATTGTTCACATCTATTTAGTGTAGAAGGTAAGATATACTATTTCATACTTTTGGAGAATTGAGTTTAGCTAGCATTCCATCATACTCCTTCTGCATCTTCACGAGGCGCTTTGATAGACGTTGAACTTCTGCAGAAATATCAACCATATCGGCCAAAGGGAGATATGCCTCTAGTCCTTCACCAGCCACAAGATGAACTGATTGATCAGCATTTCCTGAAGGATATGGATACATAATTCACCAAATAAATGATTCAGTGACCAGTTAACAGCTTACATAAGAAACACATAAAATGGATACATAATTTCACTCTTAACACAGGGAGTACAGAGTAGCAGAAAGCATGCCTGGGGAAGAATTCATAAAATGCAGATTTTGTAAATCCAGCCGAGAGAGAAGTGCCAAAACCTCTTTTTCTTCCTGAAGAAGCACATGATGCATCATAACATTACTTACTATATCCTAATCGTAAAAGCATAAGAGGAAGTGTAAGACTTCCATCACAAGGCTGACAGTTCCGTTATTGCTTAGAAATCAATTGACTCCTCACTCCTCTAATAGCCAGGCAGGTTATGCTCTTTAGCAGTGAGGTAAAAAAAACAAAAGAATACGTCGTAGGGTTTATATTTGAAAAAGCAAAAGTCAGACTTAAGGTAGGGTTTAAAAAATTGCAATACAAAGAAAGGCGGAAAAATTAGTTCCTTCCTCCTGATGACCAGAGCCCTGAGAAATGAGGAGTAAACCACACTTACAGCAATATACTCAATAACTTCATTGCTTGCAACCACGGATGCTGATATTCGCTTTGCAGGCTCAACTGAATATTCTGCCCGAGTATTTCTGATAGCTCTAACCTAAGAGATTAAAAAAATAAACCTGTCATGGTACTATTACATCAGTACAGTTACTGTAAATTAATCATGTTAAGAAGTTGTGTAATTGGGATAAGAGAATAAAACCAGGAGATAAACACACCAAAGTTTGCAAATTTTCAAACTTTTTTATAGAGCTGGTACATCTTGGAAGTTGGGTTTCTGGCCAAGGTGTTACAATAAGGGCATGCTTCCGGTTAGGGAGTGCCTGTTGACAAAACAAAGAAATTGAAACTTTAACAAACTTGCATTATATCATTCAAGTGATGTACGGTTTTAGAAAAGGAAGATGGGAAGATGAATCCAAAGCTTTGAATTATGATTAGTTTGTTATTAACATTATGATACAAAAGAGAACACGCAAACCCTTATTAAAATTTTTTATAGCAAGGAATTCCTAAGAGATAATCTAAGAAACTGTAATATAATATCAACGATATTTTTCCTATCATTAAACACAAATAATCACTGGTTTGGAAGGAATATTGAATAAATTAGGGTTTTCTTGCATTTTTCAGCTAGCACTGCTTTAGGTACATAAATGGTTTTATCTCCTATCCATACCTTCAAAAGGAAGGCTTGAGTATGGGAGAAACAAGGTTCAAACTCCCATAATTTGCACTGAAATTTAACTTCTTTCGTTTATGATGATGGAGGTAACACGGTTCAACCACTAGACCATATGGTCATCAAGGCCTTGATTCTATATAATAATTATTATTCATGAACAACCAATCCTAAAACTCAATGTATTAAGTGAAAGCACGTGAATGGTTTTATATTTAACGCATTCACAAACCAAAGAAAACAAGCATTGACAAAGCACAGACAAGAGGACACACAATTGCATTGTGTGACCACGGTGAGAAAAACACTGCCAGAGGATGTGTTGCATGAGAAAAACCAGGGTTTTCCATCCTAGTGAAGATACGGTAACAAAGTAGAAAGGATATAGAGAAACCATTATGTCTGTCGGGTATGATAACTGTCACTGCATAGGTGGTTTTTGATAGAAACCAATTTAGCCGGGGGATCACAAACAGAGAATGCACAGAGAGAAGTATAAAAGAACAGGAGAAATTGATAGAAAATATGTATTATGGATTGATTAAGGATGACAGTAGAAGAAGAAATATCAATTCTCTAGCCCTAATAGAAATACTTTCATCAAAGCGTCTCAGACTCTAAAACTTATTCTTATATAATACTAAGGAGATATTATTACGAAAATATTTTAACTAAGATATTATTACGAAAATATTTTGACTAAGATATTATTCAGAAAATATTTTATTATATATCACTAACTAAATATTCCTACAACTTAGACACCTTACTAATTACATAACAGCTCACTGGAAATTTTGCCCCAGTTTTCTTAGGTTTGCCCATAATACACTTACCATAGTTGTTGCCTTCCCATCAGTTTTATAGAATTCCAATAGATCTGTTAGTACTGCACTAAATAGACCGTATATACCTGCCATAGCTCCTCTGTTACGAATGGCATGAAAGGATGCAGCACTTTGAGTATGTTCTCAAAAGTATACAATAAAACAGCTTGTGCCATAAAAGCAACGGAGTTTCCATCATTTCCAGAGTTGTAAAGCCGCCCTTTACTAGCCTCAATGTACCTTAAGAGCAAGGAAATGAAAAGATTCAGAGTATTACTAACAATGACGGCAAAGAAAACCCTAGAGTCAAAGATCATACGGAAATGTTTGCAGATGTGTTAAAAACAACTATCAAATTGGGACATAGAAGAAAATACCACCAGTGTAAAACAACATACCAATCAGCAAAATCAGCCCAAAAGAAATCATATGTTTCTCTTCCCACTTCTCCAAAGAAAAATTTTTCATAGCTTGCACTAACAGATTCAATAAGCAAGTGAAGTTTTGAAATCTGAAAAGTGGAAGTAAGATTATCACACAGATGTCCAAAGAGTGACATAAGAAAATGTTAAAACAAAATTTCCTTACCACCCAACGCTCTGGTAAAGGAAGATTAAGTACAGAGTCTTCAGTGTCAAACTGGGAAAGTAAATCAAAAGTGTTAGTTAAGAGAAAAAGTTAGACTAGTATTAGCTAAACACATGTTGAACTAAAATGAACAGAAGGAGCACTATTAACTAAGTTTGTGTTTTAGCCGAGAAAAGTATTCCTTATCCTCCTTTCTCTGTAATTTTGTTTTCCTTTCATCTTAATGAATTTTGTCTTTTATCAAAAGAAAAGAATAAAACATTTTTTTACAAAGAGTTAACCTGTCATCATTGCAAACATGTGTCATTTAAAAAAAAAAAAGAAAAAATTACCATTCTATCTCTTGGAAGCTAGGATTGCATCTGACCTTATAAGAGAGTATATTCTCCCAAGCCCGTATATCATTCTCCTTAGGCAAGTTCTGCAATACAAATTTGCCAGCGTTCCACAATTTGTTTGTGAAGGCCTTGTTTGAAGTCAACCGCTCAGTGGACAAATTAAGGTCCTGATTGAAAATCACATCATTATCTATAATAACATAATCAACTTCCTCATTGGATAAAAAAGAATCCATTTTTTGAACACGGTAAGACAAACCTGGCCAGCTGTTCCTAAAGCTACTGTGAACCGTAAAGCATCTGTCCCAAATTCTTTGATAGTATCAAGGGGGTCAATTACATTTCCTAATGTTTTGGACATTTTTCTCCCCTGAAAATAATATAGTGGTTACATAGTCAGCCTACAAACATGGCATAGATTTATCTACCACACTCATAAAAGAGAGGAAAACAGTCAAGCTAACACCGTGATAATTTTAAAATGCATATCAAAAGTGACGTCACCTGTGAATCCCTGATGAGTCCATGCAAATAAATATAAGAAAATGGAGCTTTCCCTGTGA